GACTCGTCCCCGCGACTCTAAGAAAGATTCCTACGGGGACGAGTCTCCTCGGCAACTAACACTTATCAAGCACTCGAGAATAAATTCTCGACGACGAAAGGCCTAATGCTCGACTACAAACATAAACTAAACCTAGGAAGATCCACGAATTTCTCCTACGCTAATTCCTAACATTCATCATCTGATTCGTATGTTCTTCAGGATCTTCATGAATTTCCCCAAAATTCATGTGTTTATCGAATAACACATGAACTTCAACCAGAAAGTTCATGCATCGCCGAAACATCCATGTCAGATTCATCCTAATTTCTAGAAATCTACAAACTACCATAGATTCTTACAACATGCAAAGGTTAAAGATGAAGAATTACCTGGGTCTAAAAGGTGGAAATGAAGATGGATGGCAGTGGAAAGAGCTTTGGTGAAAGACAAGAGACCACGAGTTGTAGAGTAAAAGATTGTTAGGGAGTGAAATTCGCGTGAAATGCAAAAATAAATCAGCATATTCTCCCTCATGTTCTCCCTTTATAAACATTTACTCGCATGAAGAAGCGCAAAGGGAAGGAGCCATCATTGCCTAGATTCCCTAGGCCTTAACAAAATTAATTGTGTCGTCACGTGTCAGAAAGAAATCTTTCATTTGGCATCCTCAAGGCTGAACCTTGCACTTTCTAAGACAAGTTCCCTCTAGCTCCACTTGGACACATCCTCCTCGATAAGACACACAAGATATTGTTCGAGCACAACCTCATCGACAAGAAATTTCCTTGCCTTAAGCGCAAGGCTGGTCGACGTAAAACTTCCCTTCCACGAGCATGTCCTCACGTCCCAGAGAGCCATTGAAGTTACGAATAACCAATCGTCGACAACAGTAGTCATAGACATTCGAAGGGTACGTCCCCTAGGATTTTCTTTCAAGAACAACCATCTCGAAGGCGTCCCTGCGATGCAACTCATGCCCATTGGTCGACCAGCGAGGGTAACTCAAAGTCATTGTTCCTCACCTAAGAACAACGAATTGGGGGCTCCTGTTCTGGACTGAACTGACAGGTGGCCCACAGTTGGACAAAACCCAATTCAGTCCAGCTTTAGACAAGACCCAACAAACAGATTAGCAAAATCTAGTCATTGGGAATAATATGACCGTTGAGCACAATATGACTATTGGACATAATATAGTCGTTAGAGCATTATAGCCGTTGGGGACCTCCCCCTCGCGCGCTTGACAGTTCACACTACCAACTGCCTCTTCGGAGTTCACGTGGATAGTTGGACCAGGTCGAAAATCACGTGCTAGATCTTCCACCTGGCAGTCTCCCATTGGTCGACCAGATACTTCGACCACATTGGAAACCTTGGCCCAATACCCTCTCATTTGAGAGGGTCATGTATTCAATTCAATTCAATTGATCCAATTCATTCTAACACAAACCTAAACAGTTTGTACTTGCTTTCTCTCCCTGTTACTTATTTTACCATCGGAGTGCCTTGCAGATACACCCTCTCCTCTTCTACAACCATCATTGTTGTCCTACGTTGAAGGCCACGACGATCCATTCTGATCATACTGGATCAAATGTTAATTGTTTTTTCTTATCGAAGATGAATTATTGAATTTTTAAAAAGATTTGAAAAATTATCAAAATATACTTAATTTATCCAAAAAAAATGATACGTTAAATTTGTTTTAAAAAACCAATAAAAATACATACTGGAGTTTTTAAATACAATATCGAAAAGCTTTTACCGATTTGTTCTATTGAATTTTTCGTTTTAATTTTTTGATAAAATTTTAACAAAAAACAATATAAATATTATGTAAATACATGGGAGTAGGGTTGACAATGAACTGATCAACTCGAACTATGAAACTTAGTTCGACAATTAAATCGTTGAACTAGGTTCATGAACCAAATGAGCTGAATATGAGCGAAAAACTAAGTTCGTTAACTTAATGAATTGAACTTGAACTATATATAATTTGACTCATGAATAATTTGACTCGTTAGGTTCATGAGTCAACTCAATTATATATAAGAAAAATTATATTGTCTTTAAGAGTAGGTTTAAATATTTACTTTAAATCTTAACTTTATATTGTCTCTTCCGTACTAGTTATGACAATAAAATTGACAATTGCATTTAGGTTATCCTTATTGGAACCATTATGGCATTTGCGTAAATAACATGTGTAATGAAAGTTATAGAAGTTGTAATAATTCTGTGATAAAAGTTTATCAATTTCTAAGTAATTTTTGGGTGTACTATTTTATTAAATTTGTAAGGTTCTTAAATATTTAGATGAAGTTGTGGATTTTTGAAACAAATTTAAACTCTAATTGTGTAGTTTTTGAATTAGACTTTGAAATATATATCTTGAAAGTTGTGTAGTTTTTAAATTAATAGATTTTTCAGACAAAATTAAATTTCAATTTGATAATTTTTATTTTATTTTAACATTTTCTTCTCAAAAAAAATTAATTTAAAATGTCAAATATAAAAAAAAAATAATAATGGCTTTTAAGTCCGTGATACAAATGAATTGGATCTAACGAATTGAACCGAGCTGTTTGTAAACTTATAACGAATCAAATTTTAGCTTAAAAAAAGTTAGTATCACACTCAAATCTAAATTTAAACTGAACTAATTCTTAACAAATCGAATCAAACTGAAACAAATTGGACTCAACTCGATTTATTTGTAATCCAATATGGGAGTGCCACGTGAGTGTCGAGGTGACAAGAAATCTCCAATTGTGAGTGTCCTGGTGGCAAGACATCTCCAATTTTAACTTCTGAATGACATTGTGTTTACTTTAACATAATTGAAATTTTAACTAAAAATAGAGATTGTTTAGGTAAAAAACAAATTTAAAACCGGACCATTTAGACCTTATATTTTATTTCATTTCATACCTGAGCTTTACAATACGATTTAAAATAGGACAATATTATTACCCCTCATAAACTTAATAATATTAACAATTTAATCACTTCTTTCATTTTCATAGTGTTTAGACTTAACAACAATATTTTCTTTTTTTACCAATTCATTATTTAAAGGAGCCAAATTCTTTTTAGCATACAAAACAAAGTTTGATAATAAAATTTTATTGTACTGGATAACTACTAGAGGACAAACATTAAATGTAATCAGTTTATCAATAAGGTTGTGGTTGTAAATTTTTTTAGGCACCAAGGAATGTACCATGCATCCAGTAACATAGTACAATTTATAACTACATAAAATATGGCACTAATATGCAAGCAATACCAATGACTCAAGCTGCATAATGACTCTCTTTAGGTCTAGTTCAAGCAATCATGCACCTTCTACTAGATGACTTTTCAGAACTTGCCTTCAAAAGATTCTTACTTTCGTACTGAATCGAATATATTACTAAAAAGTTGATTTGTAAACTTAATAACTAGCCAGCCACGTTAGGTGTTAATTCAATAAAATGCTTATCATGTATTAGTTTGTACTCAAAGAGCTTATGAGTTTAAACTCGGTATAAGTGTTGCTGTAAGATATCATAGGGTGCTGGACCGTATAACTAGCATTACAATGAAAATACATACATGATGCCCTGAGAGTATGCTAATGTACCAATTCTATTTTACAGCACCTTCAACGCCTTGACACAATAAGGTCTAAAATCACTTAGTTCTTCTTTGAGAATTTCCTCATACACCTTCAACGCACCAGAATAATCCTTTTCCATGACCTTCACCTGCACAATCAAAAGCTTAAACTCCCTCGCTTCTGACTCCATTCTTTTTCTCCTTGAAAAACTTCACTATTACATCAACCCTATTTAAAACTCCCTCCATTGGGTCCTTCAATTTCAAATTCGCCGTCAAAAGACCACGATAAGCTTCAGCATTTAACGGATCTTGCTTCAAAGTGAGTTCAAACTCTTCCTTAGCCAATGTGTCTTCTCCGACACACCATTCACACGGTGTATTGTCGTGTTAGACACGTGTCCGACACGGATACGCATACGACACGTATTTGACACGTTTTTGAAGTGTTCAACAAAAAAAATTGAATCACAACGAACACGAATACGACACTTTATTTCAAATAAAAGATATGTCAAATTCAAAAAGAATTCAGAATTAAAATATATATATATATATATATATATATATATATATATATATATATATATATATATATATATATATATATATATATATATATATATATATATATATATATATATATATATATATATTCCACGTCCCCACTCAAAAAACAACACAATTAGGATTTCTTATTTCTTCATATTTCATTGCTGATTGTGTTAAAAGAAATTAGAGCACATATGTATTTATCAATTCTTTAAATAGAAACAAGACAGCAGCATATTGAGGAAAAACTTTAGTATGTGCATAACAACCTTCCACTTCTATCAAGGAGCACTCTCTAACATGGTAGTCAAAATCGGGATCCTACTCGTAGGATTGTACGATTCTACGATCTTGAAACTCCCCATTGTGCCAAAAAATGATCAGAATCGATTTTTGGTAGGAACAGGCAGAATCGTCGTGATTTCATGTGAAAACTGTGGGATCGCCGTTTCTGTTGAAAATTTCTATATTTATTTAAAATCCCATGAATTCGGATTCGCAGGTCGGGTTCGCGACCCGGTTCAAAAAAAAACCCTAAAAAAAACGTTCCATTTTTTATTAAAAGTTGAAACGATTCTTTTTCCTATATTGTAAACCAGAATCTTCCTAATAACTAGGATAATAACTACCCAGCCACCAAATAATTAAGGATTTGTTCAACTTCGCAAAATAAACCATGATTAATATAAGTTCCCAAAATAAATAATGATTAATATAACTTTCGAAAATACCTTTATTCATTCCAATTTTGTCAATCTCTCACGTTAAATAGACTCGCTCAATATTTTATTCTCCATCTTCTATCTCACAATAAAAAAATAATCTTTCCTTCTCTATTAAAAACAATTTCAATCTTTTTTCTAATGGCTTCAAATTTTGCTGTTGGAACTTTAGTTATTGGTGCTCTCACTGCTCCCCCTGCAATTGTACCACCACACCAGATAAAACTACCAAAAAATGCTCCTGGTAACCGAACTGATATAGCTTGGAAACATGGCATTGTTGATCCTAATAATCCAAGAAAAATACAATGCAAGTATTGTCAAAAAAAGGTAACTGGAGGTGTCTACAGGCTAAAGCACCACTTGGCTTAAACTCAAAAAGATGTTAAAGCATTTAACGTTGTCCCAGATGAAATCAAGAGAGATGCAAGTTTGTTCAAGATTGCAAGAAAATTTAATCAAAAAAATAGAGGCAGTGGTGGAGGAAGAGAAATCAGAAGTGGGCTAAAAAAGAATGACTAGTAACAACTCTAAAAACGTATTTAAGAAAAGGTGTTTCAGCTTACAACCTAGCATCAATGCAGTTTTAAAGAAGGGTTTAAGAGATGATGCATGTCAAGCAATTGCAAGTTTTTTTTACAATAATGTCATACCATTCAATGTAGCAAGGAGTGGGGAGTTCACTATCATGTGTGATATGATTTCAAGACATGGTAATGGATTCAAACCACCATCTTATCATGATTTGAGAATTAAGTTGTTAAATATCATGTGTGATATGATTTCAAGACATGGTAATGGATTCAAACCACCATCTTATCATGATTTGAGAATTAAGTTGTTAAACCAAGAAGTGAAGTTGACACATGAAGCTTTGGAAGAACATAGAAAGGAATGGAGGAAGATTGGTTGTACCATAATGACTGATGGATGGACAGATAAGAAAAGGAGGACAATTTTGAATTTTTTGGTTAATAGTCCAAAGTGTACTGTTTTTTGAAGTCTGTTGATGCATCTAATATATGCAAAACAATCGACAAAATCTTTGAAATGATTGATGTTGTTGTTGAAGAGGTTGGAGAAGATAATGTCGTTCAGGTCGTGACAGATAATGCGGCAAACTATAAGGTTGTTGGGGAGATGCTGATGCAAAAGAGGATTAAATTATATTGGACACCTTGTGTCGTACACTGTCTTGATTTGATGCTTGAAGATTTGGAAAAGAAGATATCAGTTTATGAAGAGACATTTCCAAAGGGTAAAAAAATTACAACTTTTATTTATTCAAGAATTTCTCTCGTTTCTATTTTGCATCATCACACAAAATAAAGATTTGGTGAGACCAGACGCTACTCGATTTGCCACATCTTACCTTATTTTAGGATGCTTGTATGAGAACAAGGAAGCTTTGATAAGAATGCTCACTTCTAAAGAATGGAAGTCGAGCAAATGTGCAAAGTTAAGAGACGGAAAAGCCATTGAAGATGTGATTTTGGATCAAAAAAATTGGAAGAATATTGTTATTTGTTTGAGGGGTGCTACACCTCTCATTAAAGTGCTTCGTTTAGTTGATTCAGATTAAAAATCGGTCATGGGGTTAATCTATGAGGCAATGGACCAAACAAAGGAGGAAATTCAAAAGAATTTTAATGGTGTAAAAAAATGTATCTTTGTTCTGTTTTAATTTTATTGAAGTTTTTGTATATGTTCTTGATATAAAATGTTGACAATAACTCAAATTATTATAATTTGTAGTTACAAGCCTATTTAGAATATCATTGATGATAGATGGGACAAAATGCTACATAGGCCACTGCATTTTTTGAAATTGACAGTGAAACGGGCCATATGCAATTGCTTCACTGTGTTTTCACGCTCTGACTTTTTCCTCTGAGAGTGACCTAAGTGTGTCCGTGTCATTGGAAGTTTCGATCAAGACTTCATTGATTGAAATATCGTTATCTTTGGTGAATAAAGCCTATGTCATTGTGGTGGTGGTGGTGGCAGTGAAAGAGGTGGAGGTGTTGATGTGGCGGTGGTGGTGGCAGTGGAAGATTCAGCTGGAAGTGGTGGAAGTAGTAATGTGGTGGTGGCAGAATTTTGTTGAATCCGAAACAAGAATGCGATAACATCGACATAGGAGGGTTCGAAGAAAGGTGAGAAAAAGGAGTTTACGGTTGAGTAATTGGGAAAAAGAGTTGAGGTTTTTGGAAAGATGAGAAAAAGGAGTTTAGGGTTTTGAGTAATTGGGAAAAAGAGTTTTGAGGTTTTTGGAAATGAGTTATTTTTTGGTGAGGGGGGAGGATGAGGATGATGAGGCGTTGACGGATGAAAATAATAAGGGGGAAAAGAAGCGGTGAGTATGTCATAAGAAAGCCCAAACAAGATCTTCCAAACACACCCTAAATTGAATAAGAAGGTGGCAACCAACCTTCAATGAAATTTTAAAACATCCATAATATAGTTTAACACTTGGCCAGAAAACTAAAATAGCATGAGATATGCCATCATCATTCAAGTACTTGTACATTACCTTCCTGATTGCCTCCTCTGTTTGAACTTTTGTTTTTGATCAAATCCTTAAGTTTGTACTAGTTTGGTTGACCAGAAATTAAACCCTATGGAGTTCCATAGAAGATCAAAACAGGAAATTTGCACTTCAACAGACACTCCAATGCAAATTTAAGGAACAAGATGAGAAAAATCAAAACAAATCATCTAATGTGCTCGCTCATGCTTATAGGACTTGAACATATCTGACATTAAATACAATCGACAATATGCAGCATTGTGAATCTGTAGTTTAGATATATGTAACACAATCCACAAGATAAATAAGTTAATATCCATCATTCTAAGTTGAGACAGAAAATGCATTATTATAAGAGTGCCAAGCCGTCTTTTAAGTAGCTAGCGGCTAAAGAGCTATACCATAGACGAATTTGATGCTATTAAGTACAAAATATTGTCAAAAAGCGGCGCTCTATAACACTGCTACAAAGCGGAATTTGAATGAACGTTATTTTTTGCAATCGACAATAAAAATAATGTTCCGAATACGAATAAGCATAATTGGCTACCTTGAAAAATGGATTTCTAATCAAACTTCTCCAGCAACACACCACCAAAGGTATAAATGCAAAGCAAATTCAAATTTCATTCTAAATCCTAGTCATTTTCCATGGAGTTTCCTGTATATAAGTTTACCAAAGTATACCGACAAAAAATGAACTCAATTTTCAAAAACTACATTTTTACAAAGAATTTCTTCTGGTATAGACCATTATGATTATCCTATATCAATATCACTGTTGTGGCCAGCGAAAAGTATTCACACTTGAATACTTCTCAAATGATAGGAAGAAGATCCATCATATAGAAAGAAGTATAACCGGCGTTGCCATGAATATACACTTACATGATGCCCTGAAATGAAATTAGACTAATATACCAATTCTATTTTACAACATTGAAAGATAAAAAACTGTTCTAAAACCTTCACTATCCATATATCCACCAAAAACTGATCCACCTAATTTCAAACAATCACATGAAACAATATAATCATCTAAAAGAGTACTATCATTCACCTGAACTACAACCCAAATCATTAAAAAAAAACTAAAGCATGGCATAGTAACATAACTTTAGCAAGCAAAACAAAACAAGATAAGTGACAAAACCTCTCTATAGAAACAGCAAATGGTTGTGATTCTCAAATCTTTGCTTCTATTCCTCCCTTCTCAAGCTTCTTCGATAAAATCTGAGCGTTATTGTCAAAATACTCTTTATAGGGATGATTTTCCGGAACAAGTTTCCTATACTCCTCAAACTGTTTCTCAGCTTCATCATTCTTCCTTAGCAGAGTATACACAACACCCTGACATAAATAAGGTCTAAAATCACTCGGTTCTTCTTTCACAATTTCCTCATACACCTTCAACGCAGCAGAATAATCCTCTTGCATTACCTTCACCTGCGCAATTAAAAGCTTAAACTCCCTCGCTTCTGACTCCATCTTTTCCTCCTCGAAAAAACTCACTACTTCATCAACCCTATTCAAAAAACCCTCCAATGGCTCATTTAATTCCAAGTTCGCCGACAAAAGACCACGATAAGCTTCAGAATTTAACGGATCTTTCTCCAAAAAAAGTTCAAATCCGTTCTTAGCCAATTCGTGTTCCCCGTTGAAACAATGCAAATGTGCTTTCAGTAACTGTAAATCAAATTCCTCCGGTTCGAGTTCAATTATACGGTCCACAACACGAATTGCCTCCCCGAGTTTTTTAGCTTTCACTTTCTCCTCCGCGAGTGACCGAAGAGCGTTTGCATCGTTGCAGGTTTCAATCAGGATGTCTTCTATTGGAATACTATTTTCGAATAAATTCTCGTCCGTTGTAGCTGCGGTTGTGGCGGGGGCAGTGGAAGTTTCCGGTGGAGGAGGTGGGAGTGGTGATGTGGTGGTGGTGGTGGAAGATTGGGCTGGAGGAGGTGGAAGTGATGACGTGGCGGTTACGGGATTTTGTTGAAAGCTGAACAAGAATAATGCGAGAATTGATACTGCGACATAAGCGGGTTCGAAGAGAGGCGAGTAAAAGGGGTTTAGGGTTTTGAGTAATTGGGAAAAGGGGTTTTGGGGTTTTTGGGAATGGTTGTTGTTTTTTGGTGAGGGTGAGGATGAGGAGGAAGAGGAGGATGAGGCTTTGATGGATGAGAATAGTAAGGGGGAGGAGGAGAAGTGGTGAGGAGATTGAGGGCGGAAGGAGAAGGTAGAGGAAGGTGTTGGAAATGGAGAATGGCGGTGGGTGAAGGAGAGGTGGTTATAGTGTAGTGTTTTGGGGAGAGGAGTCATGGCTAAGGTTGAAGAAAGCGATATTTTCATGCTAAAACCCTGTTCTGATATTTGTGTATTCATATTCTCGTTAGTTCTGGCTAAATCCTTTTAGTTGGACTTGTGTGTCGCTTGTAACGGTGTCGTTTTGACTTTTTTCATTTTTTCAAAGAAAATCTCATATTTTTTATTTTTGAAAGACTACTCATCAATGGCATCTTTTAATATGAAAATTTATTTTTAAGAAGCAAAAGTTTCATTCACAATGGAAAAACATTTAGGTTTACGATTATGTTTTATGGGTTAAAGGGGAATGTGACAAAGACAAAAAAGAAATCGTTATCGTGAACATTTATACACCATGTGACAGTATAAGATAATAAGAATGAGAAATATTGTCTATGTGTTAGGAGATTTTAATGCTATCAAGTGAAGAAGAAAGAAAATGATCATAAAACATTGGACGATAAGAATTAGAAGAATTCAACAAATTTATTTTAGATTTAGATTTAACTGATCTGCCTCTTCATGTTACGAAGTTCACATGGTCAAGGTTAAAATGTGCATCAATGAATCGTTTAGGCAGATTTTTTATCTTAGAAGAATGGTACAAAAACTGTAGTATCTATGTGCATCAAATATCAAGCTAAAAGAATGACACTAATATCAACTCAAAATTTGAAAGGTAAGATCAAAAGTGCAAAAGAAGATCTCAATAATCTTGAAATCTAAAGCAAGTGAAATTTGGTCAACAGTGGATATCAATTGTAAAAGAGAAGATTACACAACTTTACACAAGTTCATGGACCTTAACTATAGTATCTAATGATAATGATCTCGAAACAAACAGTTGAAAGAATGATGAACAAACTCTAAATACTTCCATGTATGCATTAATAGAAGAAGGAAAGAGAACACTTTTTGACTCTAGAATATAATGGAAGATTATTGAAGGAAACATATGAGATAAAAAAAGAGAGATTGATATTCATTTTTAGAGGCTCTTCGAGGGTAAAATTGAGAGACATAATCCTGCCAACATCAATTTCAATTAATGCACTTATAGGGTATTTTGGGAAACTTTGATTATAGGTCATTTTAATTATGGGTCATTCTCATGCACTTAAGTACCTCAAATGGAACTTCAACCAACATGAAAGTTGTCCCAAATGACTTCAATTTCATCATGAAACTCAAGATTGGTATGAATGATGCATGGTTGTGGACATTAGTGGAGAAATCAAGTGAAAATCCAACTTTAAGAGGTGATTCTAATTGAACAAGTTATAGGACTTTTCCAAGTCTCCTTTTGATCCAATTTTGTCCACAATACTCCAACAAGAAAAATGCACAAGTTTACTTTGGTGTATGAAGTGCAAAACACGTGGAAATGAGGTTTACTTCACAAAGAAGTTTGTCATTCAAACTTCACAATTGGACAATGTACAAAGCCCAATTCAATTCCATGTTGCAATTCAAATCACAAGCTGCAAAACCAAGTGAAATTCAAGTGTGTAGCAAGCAGTTTTCTCGTGCACATGGCAAGCATCAAAGTTTTGGGCATCAAATTTCAGCTAATTGGAGCTTCATGGGCCTCCAATTGCTTCACATATCCAACATATAAAAGCTCTAAATGAAATTTGAGAGCTCAAAATTGCATTTTCGTGGAAGAGAGCTCAAGTTCAGTTTTGAAATTGGAAAGCAAAATTCAAAGTCGTGAATCTAGATCTAGAGCAACTCAAAGCAAATTGAACAAGTATCATCTTCCTCAACCTAATTGGAGTTGATTTGCACATTTTGGAGCAAGCTAACACTCAATTGAAGCACCAACGGAGTGTCTCCATTAGGTAATCTTCATTTCAACTTTTCTCTCATGTTAGGCACTGATTTAGGTCATTGTTGGTCGCATCTGAAGCCCTACCTCGTGTAGGCAATGTTTGAGTGTTTGATTGTGATGTTTGATGAAGTTTTCAGATGTACTCCAAACTTAAATCGTTCGAATCTCTTGATCTAAGCATGTTTAAAACAATTGAATCATGGATTTGGAGTGTACATGAGTAGAGCTTCAATTTGGTATAAGATTTGTCACGTTTTGATGTAGTTTTCAGATCTGATTTCCGGCCACCTCGCAGGAGAAGACGACAGGAGCTAGGGCTCCGGTGTCTGGTTCAAACTCAGTTGAAGCTGAGTTGTCCTTGGTTGACATGTTGACTAAGTGAGATGAACGATCCATATGCATTTGACCTTGCTTGCGTGTGTTTTTGACTGCCACCTCATTTAGTGATACAGTGTGTTTTGGTTAGTGATCTGAGTTGTTTTGGTTTGGGCCTAAATTGCTTTTTGCACACCCTCTTTTGGAGGCCCATTGGATTTGAACGTATCCAGATGCTATTTGCACCATTTTCACTTATTTATTTTATTTCATTTTAATTCCTTTCTTTTTTTGATTTTAATCAATTAAAAATACTTCCAATCATTATAAAATTCAACCAAAAATATTTTCTGACACTTTAATGTGTTATTTAATTTTTCATAATTTTTAATTTCATTTTCCATTTATTTTTCAATTAAAATTGAATTTAATGATTGGAAGGGTTTTTGAGTTGTTTTCATTTGTTCTTGTTTGTTCATGCTTGATTTTGTTGACCAATTGAAACCTCTAATGAATGAGACTTTCTCCATTTGTTTGACCCTCGACAACCCTCCTTCAAAGTGGAGCACCCTTAGTGAATCAATTTCTTTGGCGATGCTTTGGTTGAACATTGGTTGTGTTGCTTTGGCCTCTAGTTGCCAATATCTTTTGAGCTTTGTATATTTTATTTGGATTTATTTGAATCATTTTCTTATTTTTGGTGTACCTTACAAGTCAAACTACCCCTAAGGATGGTTCACACATACTAGTTGACCTAGCTTGGATGGGAGATGACCCTTGTGGATCCCATATGCTTCCAACTTCTCTTGATTCACATTCTTAACATGTTGAAGTTGCTGATTTCAAATTTTTAGGTCATAAAGTTGGTTGGTTCTTGTTGTAAGTTGCATTTGTTTAAGGCTTTCCATTTGATGTTGAATGTTGAAAGTGTTTAGAACTTAGGTTCTTTACCAGGCCTTATCTTGCAATTTGCTTTGGCTTGTTTTCTTCTTTGGTTTGTCATTTCTTTTCTCTTGTTCTCACTTCTGTCCTAGGACCTTGGGGACTCATCCAAGTTGATTTTGTGCCTCTTGCTTGCACTTTGAGTTTGACTTGGATGAGAGGCCACTTTGAGAACTTTTCTTTTGGTTTCTTTCTTACATGATCATTGTGATGTTTATGGTTGAGATTTCATTTGATGTTGCTTGCTGACCAAGCCTATTCTCCCATCCTCATCTTGATCATGTCTTCTCCTTTTACTTTCTTGCATTGCCTTATGGTTTATGGATTGATGTGTAAATGGTTGTAGGAATTCTATTTCTCCCATTTCATCTCATTTTTGGCTTGAACTTGTTTAAGTTCTTTGGTTTGCTTTTCTTTTTTTGTTTTGCATATTTTTGTTTGCTTGAAGATGTTGAGATGTGATTGTGGTGGTTGTTACCCCACACCTTTTTCCTCCCTCTTCTTCTTTGTGTGGCATTGCATGTTTGCATTCTTATCTTCTTTCATCTATGCTTTCTTCTTTTGTCTTCCTTTGCCATGTTCCCTTAGGACCTCTAATCTTTCTTGTTCAAAATGGATTATGATAGACATTAGGTTTGAATCCAAGCATGATAACATTAAGTAGTCATTCCTTTTCATCTCAATCATAGGCGTACATTACATGACAATATTAGGTTGAGTTTAGTCTCCCTTTTAGAGTGTGTCTTCTCTTCTCATCTCAAAACTTCTACAAGACGCCTAATAAAGGATAATGAGTGTTGTACGCTATGAGCCTTAAGCATTTGGGAAATGATGATTGGGGGGCCTCCTGTCAATTGTCTAGAGTGTTTAGCGTATGTCCTTTGGACGATATGCGACACATTCGCTCCTAAGTCATAGTCTTTAGTTCAACATGAATTACAAACACAATTCAATTCATTTCTTCTTCTTAAAAGACTAAAAAACAAACCTCAAACTTTTTTATCTTTCGGGATTAATGGAAACCATTTTCACAAAGAGAGTTTTGTTAACTCTTGGTTCTACCGCAAACAGGTAACGCCTAAGTCTCCAATGGTCGAGCAGCACACACCTAACTGCTAGAACTAAGTTTTAACCCTACTCGGGTATAACATTTGAACCAACCTGGGATCTTGTTAGCCCGAAATACGTTTGCTCTGATTTCTCGTAACAGAAGAGGATACGTAGGCACAAGACGACGATGTCTTGGCGAGCAACCTTCCCCACCTTCACCCATAGTTTTCTTAACTACGTTGACTCTGACTTGCCCATTGCACGAGGGAGTATGTAGGCATAGAGCGGTAATGTTCTATCGAGTCTCTTTTCTTTTATATTGTCCCCGTGAGCCAGCCTTGGATAGATTAACACCCTTTAGATAGATAACAAGCGTGGATCTCGTCGAGTACGGAGGACGTGAGGGGTGCTCATACCTTCCTCTTGCATAACCGACTCCCGAACCCAAGATTTGGTTGCGATGACCTGTTGTTGCACCCCAAATTTGTCCTACCTTTACATGGTTTCTAGTGCCACTTTATTTCAAATGAATAAAATTGCACAATTGGCAAGAGACCGTGTGTGAGGAGTTGTGAGTGTGAGAGGTCGAGAGTTCGAATCCCACCTTCTTCACTTTTTGTTTTTCTTTTATTTTTATTCTAACTTTTCTATTTTTATAAAATAAAAAAATAATAACAAAAAAGTTTTTTATTATTTAATTATTATTTTCGTATTTTATTTAAATTATTTTTTAAAAAATATTATTTTTTCACATTTTTTCATATTATTCATAAAAACATCCAAAAATCATAAAGTTAAAAATATTATAAAAAGAATTTTATTTTAAATTGTTTAAATTTTATTTAGTTTTAACTAATTATTTAAGTTGGGCATTGAAGTGGGCATTAGGTTAGAGTTAACCCTAATT